CTTTTTTTTAAGACAAAAATTTTTGAGGCGAAATACCCAAAAAGAAGTTTGTAAAAAAATGAATCCGCCTCAACAATATAGAACTTATCTACAATTTATTATTGTTTACAGGAAAATTGACAACATTTGAACTACTTATAATATAGTACCTAAGTAGGTCCCATAGGTTTTATTGTAGAAATTTATCTTCCGCAAATTGAAAAATATTGTTTTTGTCGTAAAATAATCAATAAATAAGATCAAAATCAAAAATACTAAATCAATGTTTAAACTAGATTTTCGTCCTGTTGTTCAACGATTTTAACAGTGTAGCCTACTATTCTAATCATTTGTAATACAAGGAGACCCAATACAATCGTTTTTGCTTAAAACTAACCCAAAAATCCTACAAATAAGATTTACGGGTATTTTCATATTTTTAACTGCAAGAAAGGTATGATATTAAGGGTGGGAAGTTTTCAAATGGACTCCCCTTATAATCAAGTACTTACCATTGCCGGATCTCTTTTTCGGTAACTGAAACAAAGAAAGAAAAACGTTAGAATGGCCTATTTAATATTTATATATAATATGGCCTATTTAATAATTTAGAACAATGCATTTTATTTGCACGGAAGCAAGGCTTGTAACTAGCCCAATGAATAATAMAAATTTTGAAACTCTTTTATGCGGTAATTGAGCGGTTGSGATGTCTAGTCGACGATATCTTYCTTATTGTAGTGTTAAACCCTTTATACGGGGTGTCCTGTGGGTGTGGGTCAATAGCAGTARCTTCCGAGTYTCATAGTTTATCAATTAAAAATAAATAAAATAAATATTACGGCATACCACATTTATTCGACAAGGACRACCTTCTGAACTATGGATTGAGTTTTGAAATTTTKCGAATTTTCTTTCTGTAAAAATAATTTAAGCTCAGAAATTATATGTTAACGAATGAATGAGGTTCTCTCTACAGAATAATCTTTTGATAGGTAAAACGATTAACTCTCTGTTGTAAATTATACTTTTTATTGCATTGGCAAGTAATATTTGCTGCATTCAAATGTTCAAATAGCGAAGATCCAGACCAAAATGCCGAAAATTGGGTGGAACTTGTTAATTGCTTTATGATTGGTTTAGCGAATAGCGCGCTAAAAGGCTGCAAGTTATCCTGGACTAATTATTTAGATTGGCCTGTTTTTGCCAAATTTCACACCCTAAACAAATTATTTTTGCCAAACGATTCATGCTAGGGAAGTGCAGCGGCTAAAATGTTTCGCCATCCAGCGCCCTTCAGGCTGTAAGTGGTCCAGATCAAGATTTTAAGCAGACTAACAGTAACGAAATAAGTTTTTTGCGAAAAAAATCGGGGTTTTAGGGAATTTTGGGCGGTCTAGATCAGGACAGCGTTTCATTTTGCAGAAGTAGATGGTAATCAGGGTTGTAGTTTTTCTCTGATAACATTTATGAGGCGAATTTTATTCGAATTGGAAAGCATTCCACTTTGTAGATTTAGATGGCAACCAGGGTTGTAGTTTTTTTTTGATAGCCATTCACGCTGCTCACATGTGCAGATTTGTGGATTTTATGAGGCGAATTTTATGTAACGGCGAAATTATAACACACTTATTTTCGTATGCTTTTGAATTTTCTTCGGATAAAATAGGCCACCTTTTTAAGTGCTTGTATTCACTAAGAACAGCGTTTTCTTATTGACTTAGGGAAATAAAAGGTTCCGCATCATTCTCGGACCGCAATAAAAAAGTAAACGCAAGAAATACTGTTAAATAGGAACAATATTAAATATGTAAATATTCGAACTCTAATTTATATATTGTCACCACGCGAAGAGCATGACAGAGTGATGAAAGAAAGGCACTTTAGAGCTATCGGTATAGATTAGTCTTTTTTTAGACTTTTTCCACTAAAATTAATTTCTCAAAGATATAGTCACTGTCTCTGAGTTCAAACTCGTTTTACTCTCTTGCTGTTGTCGCTATCCAATTTGAAGCTGGAATAGTTTTTATAGATAGTTCTTTGGGCTTTTTGGAGCTCTGGAACTTTTCAAATCTCTTGGCATTTAACGTTATTAAATTTATTATTATTAGGGAATTTTTAGGCCCCTTAATTGCAACACGTTTTACGTTATCCGTTATTCTGAGCATGCGCATTAGGAACAAATAACCGTTTACGCTATTAGAGGATAACGTGTTCCTTTATTTACGTACCGGTAGCGGTAACGTTAATAAGCATCACGTTAAAAAGCACAACGACGGTGTTGACATATTTGACTTATTTCTAAGATTATTAATAAAATAAGCGGCCATAATAGAATAAGAAATGTATTGTAAATTTATATAAGACTTTTTCATTGATTGATTTACGCCATTATTGCGTAATTACGAATTTTATCTGAAAATTGTTTGGGCAAATTTGAACTTTTGCAACACTACTAACATCGCAGGCACTGGGGCTAACTTCTAACCCATAACCTAACTATTTGATATTTAATATCGGACATCGAAAGGTTGCATTGTTTATATTATTTTCTTTGAAGCCCACAATTTGCAGCAGAAATTCTTTGTATTTTGAGTTTGTGAGCTTTTTGTCGTTTGTTTTGAAATTGTCGACTTTTCTCCCATTAATTTACAAGCATGTCCGTTTAAAATAAGAGACATTTGAATTGCATTTTCATTCATTCAGTTCATCGGATGCAAACAAATTATCCTTGAGGTTTATCTGAATTAAATCTAATTGAATAACGATCCATCCAGAGATAACAATTTTATTGTTTTATACAAAATGGCAACTGCAAATTTTTTCTAATATCAAGATTCCTCTTGGTCTTCACAATCGCACTCATCCTCTTCCTGGCATATAAACTCGTAGTTCTTCAGCTCGAAGTCAATGTCTTCATCTTCCTTTGCCATAATCTTGTAGTAGATGGTTTTGCCATATCTGCCAATGAGGGTTCCGGTGGCAATTCCCACCACAAAGTACCCGATATCAAACAGAAATTTGACCATTTTGACTCAATGTGTTACTTTACATTATGACTTTTGGAATAAACTCAAAATCACTGTCAACTCTCCCAAATTCCAGTCGCAATGAAAAAATTCAGATGGTGTGATTATGGAGCTGTTTTCTTTGGTTTGGCCTCCGGAGTGGTTGTGGGCAAGTACGGAAAACCGTTTTACGATGAAATGTATCCACCGCGCAGGATCAGAAAATGGGAAGAATCATGCGCTGATGCTGAAGACTGTGAGTGCGACGCGTGCGATGATGACTACAGCTGGTGACTCAGAAGCGAAGAGCTGACCTTCCTTGAACGTGCGATCGTTTTGTGCTTCGTATTTTACGTTTTCTGTCCAGAAATACATTGATTTATCACCGGAATTTTCATCATTCTTTGGCTCGTAGATGCGGCATTTTCCCACACAGAAAGCGCAATGAATAACCTGGAATATATGTACAAATCGCGTGCAGGAAACAGCGCAAAGTATTCCTCATTTGTTTTCCTGCCCATAGTTTTCAATCTTCCAAAGTTTACGTATGAAATCGACTGGAAAATTGTTGGATATTATAAAGCTCAAGTAAACTTCTGCTTTGCTTTTTTCAATTTGCGTCATCAATTTTAATATCTTGCATGTTGTCTGGAAAAATGGCCCTTGATGTATTGCCAAAGGTCGTGAAACAATCGCTTTACATTCTTTTAACTTCGAGGTTTTCTGTTTGATTTTTCAGTACTTTCCATGACAGCTTCAAGCTCGTGTAAAAGCTAATTAACCACATGAAGGAACCTTTAAACGGCACGGGATTGGAGTGAAACAAAGACATTGCTTTGTGCTAATTCTCGATCAGTTACATGGCAATTGCGGTAATTGAGAGCGATTTAATCTGGAAACTTTGACCGATTAAGTGAAGATTTTTACAAACTAATTTAGAACAGATTAGGGCTTTGAACTGATTTTTTTAAATTTGGGATCAGTTTTCATACGGTCGGTGTTCTTTTCAGTTTCCATTCAGCTTTCGTATTTGGTTGCTGGGCAAATGAAAAACCAGATAAGGGTTTTATGGATTAAGATAACCAGGGTTTCATAGATTAAGGCTCGGATTCACTATATTTAATTTTATTGTCCAGGGTTATCAATACATAGATAAGTTCTGTATTGTTGAGGCGGATTCATTTTTTACAAACTTCTTTTTGGGTATTTCGCCTATACGTGAGGAAATTCTGTCTTTTTTAAAGACAACAATTTTTGAGGCGAAATACCCAAAAAGAAGTTTGTAAAAAATAATCAACACATGTTGTAGTAAGGGCCGTGTTTAAAGTCGTTAGGGCTCCGGGCCACAATGTAAATGGGGCCTTTGAAGGAGATTATTTATTATTAGAAGGTAAACGTTCAACCACTACTTACTACGAATATTTTATAGATTTAACTTCTTGAAATGGTATATTAGTAGTCTGAAAGTAAAAAGTATCAAGATCAGCAAGCTTGCAGTTAGTAATATTCTAGCTCTTAATCTAGAGACTGACATAAATCTGGTAGCTGATATACAGGGTGTGCAAGATAAAGATTCATTGCATGGGCATCTACGAAACCAGGCGAGATATGAAGTCGGTTATATTAGGAAAAAGTTGCCCAATCAGAGGGTGTATAAGGAATAAGTGTAATAATGTGTATAAGTAAATAAAGAAGGAATAAGTGTATACAGGAATATACAGGGTGTTTTTTTAAATCTTGAAACGCTTAAATATTTCGGAAATGAGTGATCTGAGGAAAAAACGTTTCAAATAAGAAGTCAATATCTGGGAGGGAGAAGTTTATTCGAATAGTACGTCAAAAGCTGAGAATAATCTATTCAAAACATTTTCTTCTATTTTGACAGGTGACGCTACAATTCATCTAATAAATAAATTTGCATGTTTCCTTGAAACGGCAAAAAGTATCATTCTAAATTATGAAAAATCTCAGCAAGCAAAGGGTTAAAACAAAAAGTGTCAAAATAACTAGATTTGAATGATCATCTAAGGAAATGGAATTCACTTTTGAAGATAAATTAACAATTGAAATTCTTAATTCAAGTATATGTTTCTCTGTTTGCAAGCCTAACGAAAAGAGAAGCTTAGGAAAGAAGCAACGACCATTTAAATTTTTTAATTTTTTTTAAATATATACAATCAATGTATGCTTGTTTTTCCGAATATATAAATTTGTTTACGAATTTTTTAACCTTAATGATAACTTACTGTAGCGGAGAGCGTCCGTTTTCTAAATTAAAATTAGTGAAAAATTTACGCAGAAGTGCCATGTTACAAAGTAGCCTGAATTACTTATCGTTATTAATCTTATTATCCTTAATCAGATTTACTGAAAAGTAGTTACGTAGTAGTAGTAACGATCTAATTGCTCTTTTTTCAGCTTAAAACTCCCGACAAAAACTGTAAATGTTAATTTATCTAAGACAGAGAGGGTGATTTAAAATTGGCGTTATTCCTCTGAAGGTGTTTTAGAAGTACAGAAAAATTAATT